CTGTTTCCAGATATTAGTTATTTTAAATAATGCTCCTATGAACATAGTGGTGTATATATTCTTTCTGATTGGTGTTTTGAGATTCTTAGGATATATTCCCAGAAGTGGGGTTGCTGGGTCAAATGGCAGTTTCATTTTAAATTTTTAAAAAATAATTTAAAAATTTTCTTTTTTTTCTTAATCCTCACCCAAGCATATTTTTCCCCCATTGGATTTTAGAGAGAGGGAAAGAAAGGGAGGGAAGGAAAGAGAGAGAGTAATATTGATGTGAGAGAGACACATCAGCGGGGGATTAAATCTGCAACTCAGGTATCTGCTGTTGACCTGGAATTGAACCTAGTGACCCTTTGGTGCACTGGCTGACACTCTAACCACTAAGCCACAATGGCCAGGGCCCATTTTAAATGTTTTGAGGCAACTCCATATTGTTTACCACAGTGACTGCACCAATCTGCATTGTACTACGGCTCCCTTTTCTCCATATCGTAGCCAGCATTTGCTTGCTGATTTATTGATAGTAGCCATTCTGGCAGGTGTGGGGTAATACCTCATTATAGTTTTAATTTGCATCTCTCTGGTGATCAGTGATTTGAGCATTTTTTCATATCTATTGGCCATCTGTATGTCCTCTTTGGAGAAGTGTCTATTCAGGTCATAAGATATCTGAAATTTTACTGCCTATGTTTCCTTCTGAGATTTTATGATTTTTGTGACTTACATTTAAGTCTTTTATTCATTTTGAGGTTATTCTTGTGTATGGTGTAAGTTGGTGGTCATTTCATTTTTTTTGCATGTACCTGTCCAATTTGCCCAACTCCATTTGTTGAAGAGACTATCTTTACTTCATTGTATGCTCTTGTCTCCTTTGTCAAATGTTAATTGACCATAAAGGTGTGGGTTAATTTCTGGGGTTTTGGTCTGTTCCATTGGTCTATATGCCTGTTCTTATTCCAGTAACAGGCTGTTTTCTTACAATGGCTTTGTAGTATAGTTTGACCGGTATTGTGATCCCTCAAACTTTGTTCTTCTTTCTCAAGATTGCTGAGGCCATTCAAGGTCTTTTTTGGTTCTATTTAAATGTCTGGGATATTTGTTTTAGATCTGTGAAACATGCCACTGATATTTTAGTAGGATTGCGTTGAATCTGCTTTGGGTAGTATGGACATTTCAATTATGTTAATTCTTCCAATCCATGAACACTGTGTATGCTTCCACTTGTTTGTATCTTCCTCTATGTTCTTTTTCAGTGTTCTAGAGATTTTCAAGTATGGATCTTTTAGTTGCTTGGTTAAGTTTATTCCAGGTATCTTATTTTCTTTTTGTTATTGCAATGGTATTTGAGATTTTTTTTTTTTTTTTTAGTTTATCTTTCTGAGTTCATTATTGATGTATAAAAGTGCCATAGATTTCTGGATGTTAATTGTGTATCCTGCTACTTTGCCAAATTCAATTATTAAATCTAGCAGTGTTTTGGTGGAGTCTTTAGGGTTTTTATGTACAATATTCATGTCATCGGTGAATAATGAGAGTTTTACTTCCTCGTTTACAATTTCGATGCCTTTGATTTTTTTTCTTCTTCTTGTCTGATCACTGTGGCTAGGACTTCCAGTACTATCTATATGTATAAAAGCCTAAGTGACCATTATGACTGGTCGACCAAATGACTGGTAGACCAGTCACTATGATGTGCACTGACCACCAGGGGGCAGACGCTCAATGCAGGAGCTGCCCCCTGGTGGTCACTGTGCTCCCACAGCCAACTTCCCTTTATTGGCCCAGATCATCTGCCAGGACCCACCTGTGCAGGAACATTGAATGACAAGTTATAGCCAACATATCAAGATGAAGTAAATGCTTCATACTAAAGTAAGATGTCAGACCCAAATTCATATTTTTTACAGAAATGATCACAAAATTATTGGACTGATGAGGTCCTCCAGTTCCAATGGACAGGGATAGGGGTTGCCTGATCCTTTCTTCATGCACATTTAGATGTGTGGGGACCTCCAAGAATCCTGCTGAGAGAGCAAACTGTCTTACCCCTGCAGTGGTTAGGTATAATGACTGCAGTCTGCCAATGCTTTTTTCTAGAGAAGAATATTCTAGCTGGCTACTTTACAGTGTGGCAGTATTAAAGACAAACTATATATGAATGTACTGATATAAACATTCATTTTCTTATTTTGAATTATTCTTTAAAAATCTAAGAATTCTATTTTACTGTAAATGGCTATTGCTTTATGAAGTATCAGTAACAAGCAACAAAGAAAATGGCTTAGGTACATGAGAATCCGGAATATATTATTTACTTTCCTGCTGCATGAGCACTCTTGTTTTGGACAAGCAGGAAGCATCATTATCAAAGGGCTTCCTGATAATTCCACTGCCATTCTTATACCTGTAGATGATTAAAGTATATAAAAAAAGAAAACAATCAATGACTCATAGTATAGCAATAGCCCCTTAAGATATTTTTATTCCTCTAGTACAGTGGTTCTCAACCTGTGGGTCGCGACCCCTTTGGCAGTCAAATGACCCCCTTTCACAGGGGTCGCCTAAGACCATCCTGCATATCAGATATTTACATTAAGATTCATAATAGTAGCAACATTACAGTTATAAAGTAGCAACGAAAATAATTTTATGGTTGGGTCACAACATGAGGAACTGTATTTAAAGCGCCAGAAGGTTGAGAACTGCTGCTCTAGTATAAGTGGTTGATAATGGGGGGCTTACAAACATGATTCAATTAATTCTTAGGATTTCTATAAATATTTCTAAGAAAGTAACCTTTCAATGATACCCTTCCTATTAAAATCAGGATGCATTAAGAGCGAAGTAAATTCATGTTCTTTAGGAATAAGTTTTATCTACTCACTGAATTCTGGTATCAGAAATATTAAAATTTGCTTCTTTCTTTCATTAGCACCACTACTCTGCTTTATTATTCTTGCTTAATAATTCTAAAAATCATGGCAGTTTTCTAGTACATAGCTGTGTGTGTGAGATAAATTAGTTATTCAGTGATTGTTACATGAATGGATGAATGAAAAAACCATAAATCCTTAGGAAGAAGACAATAAGATAAAGCCACTTTTTTTTCTTTACATAGGTTTTATTTCAGGACAAAAATTGTATGGCCTAAGGCGCTCACTTTGACAATGCTACATTTTAATTTAGAGAGAGGAAGAGCTTACCTGGTATATAGCTCTCATTTGTTCAATCCACTTGATTTAATTGTACAGTGTAAGATCCCAATTTATAATGGTTCTCAGATAACAATATTTTGAATAGCATGAAACGAAAAGAATATTTGAGGTTACTTGTGGAGATTATAAGGCTAATGAGTGAGAATAACTCTATGCCCCACTTCAGGTGAGGAGTTAGCAATCCAGCTACTGTCTTTCTTAAGAATAAATAAATTAATAAATATTCAGAAAATATATACTTACTCCAAGGCCTGAGCCAGATGGATCCTGTTAGATTATATTAAAAAGGATAAGATGTTGATAGCTAAATAGTTGGAGATGGCAATGTATCCAGCTTTTTAAAAAATATTTTTCAACATTAAGGTGGCAAGAAAATATGAGAACAGAACTTCCAAGAAAGCAACATCATAAGTGTTCTCAACTGGAACATGGACATGATGGCTGGAACTACAGCAGTCATTCTGAGACCATGAGGGGTCTTGAATACAGTGATATGACCAAATTTGTTATTTAAGGGGTGGGGTGGGGGGAGAGAAACATCCCTGGATATCATTATGGATAAAGGATTACAGTGAAGAAGAGCTTTGGGTTATATTATTTCCTTTATATATGAAAGCTAGTGAAGCTTGATGACAATTAGGTTATAGATTCAGTAAAATAATTGGGCTAGAATGAATCTTATAGAAGCAAAGTCAACTGTGATATTCTGTTATATTAGTGATACCAAGACGCCTCCTCTGTTTCCACATATGTCCTACACTGAAGGATCTCCTACAATATAGCTTCAATGTTTTTTAGTAGTTACAAAAAGTAAAAAAATAAATGCTCTGAGAGAATTAACACACTGACTTAAAAATCATATCAACTAGTAAAATACAGGTATCAAATCCATGCCTGAGATTCAGTTTTAATGGGCACTATCAGAGGAAGGCAGAATGTTACCTAGTACCTGTAGTAAGAAGAAGTAATTATAAAGAAGAGAAGGGGGATGCATAAAAGGGAGGTTATGAATACTAAAAAGAAAAACAGCTATTGGCTCAGTGGATAGAGCGTCAGCCTGCGGGCTGAAGGATCCCAGCTTTGATTCTGGCCAGGGGCATGTACCTTGGTTTCGGGCACATCCCCAGTAGGGGGTGTGCAGGAGGCAGCTGATAGATATTTCTGACTATCCCTCTCCCTTCCTCTCTGTAAAAAATCAAGAAAATATATTTTAAAAAAAGAAGAGAATCAAGTTTGACAATTTTCATTGTAGTCTATGGACAAACAGTTTAACATCATACAATATATATCTTTCACAAGGAAATATCTTTTTAAAATATATACTTTTTTTAATTTTAGAGAGGGATAGAGAGACAGAAACATCAATGATGAGAGAGAATCACCACACCATGCAGGCCCCAGCTGGGGATGAAGCTGCAACCAGGGCCTGTGCTCTGACCTCCTGGTTCCTGTGCCGGGGCTCAACCACTGAGCCGCACGGCTGGGCTCGACACTGCCTCGCAGTCCTGTGCTGCTTCCCCATAAACAGAACACAGCCCACCTTCCGCAGGTCGCACCACACCGCGCATGGGCCTAGGCTTGCGCGAGTACAGCTTACGGCGCATGCGGCTTTCCCCGCCGGAGCCGGCGGAGAAACACAGTCGGCGCCCGGCAATGACGTAGAAAGGCTGCGCGGCGACTCGGCGCGGACACGTTCTGCGGGAGCGAGTGCTGGCGGGTCGCAGTCATGGTGCACTGCGGTTGCGTGTTGTTGAGGAAGGTCCGTGCACGTGCCCCTCTGCCTGATGGCCGAGCGCCGGGTGCTTCTAGCCCCGCCCCGGGGCTCTGGTTCTCCTCTGCCAGCCCCCCTTTCTATTTGGGAGTCTCTCTCCTGCTTTTTTCCACCCTAGTCTCTCGGGTTGGCCTGGGAGCGGGGTGTGTCTGCCCGGCTCGGTTCGGACGGCGGTTTGGGGACCGGGTGTGAGATTCTTCTGGGGAATTGTGCGAAGTGGGATGGAGAGCTGGGCATGGGCCTGCTTTTAGACATGCACTACTGTGTACGTGGAGTGGAGCTTGACTTTTGCTTTGGGCTCAAATCGTGTATTTTCCTCTTAAGAAATAGTATTCGTAGTCCTAGGCCGTTTACATACACATTTTACCTTTAGTGCATGGTTCTTAAGAGCTTTCTAAAGACGACTTTTCATCAGTGTTAGGTACGTTCTTATCAGAGAGGAAGGGAGAGAGAGAAATGAAAATATGTAATAATAGGCTTGCCTTCTTGCAAGAAATTTAGGTCAGTTTTTGTGTAGTGTCGGTTTTAAAATCAAACTGTAAAAAAATGTACGGTTGCTTCACATTTAAAAGCCTCTTTGAGAGCCTTACTAGTAATGCTTTTTGCAACTAGCCAGCATTATAGTTCAGGCATTGCCTTATTACTAACGATAAGATTGAGATATTTCTTTTAAATTTGGGTTCTAAGTCTCTGAATATGTTCAGTCTAAACTAAGCAGTGAAAATGCACAAACTACTGCATTTTGTTGTGGATAAGTTAATAAAGTCCACTTGTGTAACCTTACTGCCATAAAAGGTCACTTCCAATCAGCGTCATTGCAATTGGAATCTAATTCTTCTGATCTCGCCTCGCCAGAAGGAAAGCCTAAGTTCACGTCCAGGGAAAAATGCTCTGGTTGGCCCTCAAGTTTATCTCTTATATATTTCTCCCACCCTATTCTCTTACAACACTCTGTTTTATGAATACATTTGCATAGTTAAATGAGTCCCTGCAATTCGATTCTTTGCTATGACCCATGTACCTCAATCTCAGGTCTGAACTGCATAGGCACCACCAGGGGAGCTTTTGCTAGATATCCTGGCTTGAAGTAGCCTCTCCCCCTCCCCTCCAGAGTATATCAGAAAGGTCAGCCAAGTGCATGTATTTTGCAAAAAGTTTACAGATGTTTTTGATACTTGCAACTACTCTAGAGGACTAAAGATGTAAACATTATTAATTTAAGAAATTACTCTGTAAGGAATCTTGATAGTCTGAGAGTTAATACATAGGCTCTTTACCTGCAAGAAGGTCTTGATTTAGTCAGGGAAACAAGTAAATACTAAATGCAGTATAAGATTTCAGAAAGTGTACTAATACCAATAGAGGTATAATCAAATGACTAAGAGGTCGGCAAAGTTGATAAGTGTTGATTAAAGGAATTAAGAAAGACATCAGCAAATGGCATTCAGGTAGGTTTACGGTAGAAAAGATCAAATTACAGAAAGTAGAGGAAAAGCATGAGCAGCGTGGCATGGAGGTGTGAAAGTATAACTAGTAGTAGAGCAAAAGAGGAAAAACATAGGAGGGGTTGAACGAATGGAAATGAACCAAAGGTAGGTTAAGAGTTTTGAATATAGTGCTGAGCATTTTTAATGTATTTTTATTGATTTCAGAGAGGAAGGGAGAGGGAGAAAGAGAAACATCAATGATGAGAATCATTGATTGGCTGCCTCCTGCACACCCCACACTGGGGATCAAGCCCCCAATCTGGGCATGTGCCCTGACTGGGAATCAAACCCATGGCCTTCTGGTTCATAGGTCAAGGCTCAACCACTGAGCCACGCCAGTCGGGCAGTTTTGGCAATTCTAATAGGTATTTAGTGGTATCTCATTGTTCTAATTTGCATTTCCCTAATGACATATTTGTGTGGAGCATTGTTTTCATATGCTATTTTCCATCTGCATATGTTCTTTAGTGAAGTGTCTGTTCAGGTCTTTTGCCTATTTTTGAATG